ATTCTGTAATGTTCAATCTGCGCTAGGAACTTCCTGTTTTCTAGGCCCAAGACAAGGATTGTGCGGAAAGCATTTCTCTAGCGAGTTCGACGACTCTTAGGGCCATTGTCATGGATGCAAAGCTTGAGACCGTGGACAGAAGAATTTTGAAGGAACCAACTTTCTTGTTCAGAGATTCTGTCGATATTAACACGGAGCTTACGTATGATGGGAGCTACAAGTGGGTACGAAAGATTGGTGATCGCTTCTTCTTCCTGCCTAATATGGAGTGGATATACCCCCTATCTTATTTTCAATGTGCCTCTATTCCCAGTCATATGCAGTGGGATCTTATCAAAGAGCAAGATGGAGTACCCATCAGGTATCTGACTCATCAAGGTGTTTACCCAGTAGGTTATAGTCAGCAGTTGGTGGCTATGAAACCCGGTATGTTCAGCCTGTAGTATCCAACTGGCGAGACTGCCAATTTGGCGAATGTTTTTGTCAGAAGCTTCATGACAGCCAAGGGTGAGTTCCTCACACAAGATTTCGGGACTCCTGGATGGGTGTATTCCGCAGATGGGGGATGGTGGGCTCTCATGGTAAATGTCGTCTTGGAGGAGCCGAGAGAGCCACTTACCAACTATGGCCCTTAGGACTCCAGTGTTGGCTACTCGATATGAGATTGTGTAGAGCCACTACAATCTTTTCGCCATGTTGGAGTGTTATAATCCCGAGACATGCACATTCTTTACACCTATCGGGGTGTTGGGCTTTGCATTGCATAAGATGCATGAAGTCTCTAGTTTACCATTTGGGGAGCTGTCGTATGAGGAATTTATTCCAGGAACTGAAGAACTCACTATCTTGAAGGTGGCAAATTCGACGATTTATTAGACTTTCTGGGAACTGACGTGTCACTACCATATTTACGCTCAGTTGACAGGGCTGTGTGGGGTCGGTGTCAAGAAAGTGTCCTGGGCTGATTATTTATTTCAGAATTTGAACTAAAAGGATGTCGAAGTGACCCGTCTTGCTGTGAGTACTCCAGATGACATCAAGGCTCCTATTGATGCTGCTACTGCTCATTATATCAACGAGGCTAAGGAGGATGTTTATCCCCCATACACTGAGTTTGACAGTTTTCACTACCAGGCTCAGATCCCTATTTCTGATATGGCCCTGCTTGCTAGATTATTGATGCCATGGTTGAAGCGATGTGTGGTACCTACAAAGCCGATCGAATCCATCGCGACTGAAGTTGTGTACATTATAGTTCTCCTAGATCATGGGAGACCGATGAATCTCCTCTCTGCAATGGTGTGTTGGCTGTAGAGCGGTTTGCGAGAGTTGACCACCGAGTTCCTTGTGGTAAAAGTAACGGGCTCGAATGGGACGAAGAAGTGGAAGATTCCCAATCGACGTGTGCCAATGCCTTACACCTATTTGGTGTCTTGATTCGTCCTGCATTTCCCTTCATTGATGATGATAGTCCCTTCATCCGATAGAGCTTTTATTCCTCTCATCCGGTGGCTTGAGGCTGCCAAGTGGGAGGGTTAGTACATGGTGCTTGTCC